TTATCATGTTGGGCTTTCTCTGGCATAAACAAAGAGAGAAGATTTTGTTTTCCCCCGGTTTGCATCTTGTCGCAGCAGCAAATAATTGGGGCACAACTCGTGCGCCAGTGACTGAGTTGTCATACAACTCGGTCCAAGAGGTAGCTTAATTGCGCTGATGTCCCAGCGCTTGGGCCATATTGGTAACATAGACTGGCTGTTCCAACTGAAAATGTCAAAGCACGCTCACAAATTCACAATTGAATTGTTGAAAAAACTGGAACAATCCAAAGTGGAAATTGAAACTTCGCTTCCAAAAAAGAACTATCTGGCTGGCTGTTTGCCAGTGGCCCTCCTACTGGGTGGCGCAGCGGATGCCTTAGGCACCGCCTTGGCCTTTGCCCCTGGTTTTGGGACAGCCTTTGCCTTTGCCCTGCCAGGCATGTTCTGACCTGGCATGCGAGACCTCGAGCAGGTGCGCAATGCGTGGCTCGAGTTTGGGGATTCTACTTTGAAGCTAGGGGTCCGACTTTGCGAACTGGAAAATGCCCATCCCTTCAAGCAACCTAAGCGCAAGGAGGGGTGAGAACACATTATAATAGAGTAAGTAAATGTTTCACATTTTTTCTGTTTGGGGGCCACGCTTTTGCTTCGCTCCATCCATCTGACTCTGGATCTTCGTTTGTAACCTTGATTAAAGCACGCAGCAGGGTTGAATCTGCGATGATATTTCGACCTGTAAAATAAGGGCCCAAGTTTGGCAACTCAGATTTGCAATAGTAGTTTAAAACGATATTATTTGGTTACTGATTGATTACAACAATGACACACCCCAAAGATAGAATTTGGATTGCGTTCCATGTGACATATTTCAGTTGACTCATTGTAATGCTATAATTGTCGAAACATTAGTCCTGCTAGTTTCCCACATCCCCTAGCTACGTTCAAAAGTGGTATTTATGATTCAATATATTTAACCTTGAATATTATACATATAATATTTAATAATGTTTACAACATATACAAAATACATAATACATAGTAATATATACATAATATCAAAAACATACATAATACATATAATGCATATATATACTATATATACATTAGTAATATAATACATATACCAATGTATTGTACACATCGTATATATATATATTGTATATAATATTATATCTATATATATTTATTTATTTACACCAGGGTCAGCCGAACCAAGGACCCAACTACCAAAAATCAGCACTGTATTTTATGGCTTCCCCAAAATTAACACGCCACTGGAAATGGCACACCTGAAATAAATACAGTCTTGTGTGCATGTGTGTGTGTGCTTTCGTGTGCGCACAAGTAGAGGGTTGGCATCCCAAGAGGGTAAGTCAATTATAATCATGTCAAAGGCACACAACTTGCACACTTTTTTGTCTTCACAAAGTCATAGAAACAAGCAGTAGTTGCAACAAGCGACCCCCCAGAAAAGAGAACACATAGCATCTCAGTGCACGAGGCAAGCACAGCCATACGCTCACTGGCCTTGAAGACTAAGGCAAGGAAGGGCTACCAAGCATAAGTATTGCAGCGTCCAACAAAGCACAAAACAACCCAAGATCTTCCAACAAGAACAGGCGGTAGCAGACAAGCAAGGCAAATTTGAACAAAACAAACACATGGGGGAACCAAACGAAATACGCCGCTAGCATGTAAAAAACGGAAACGCTGATTCATGTGATGGATCACACTAGCCAAGACAAATCAAAAAAACTTGGTTCTCTAATGGCCACTGTCACTTTGAGATTGACCAGTTTTTACAGTAGGAGCCACCAGTTTTGAGAGCATCTATGGGAAGCTCGGTAGAGAAAGAAAGAGAAGAAGTGAGAGAGGTAAGAGAGAAGAAAGTAAAAGAGTTCAATGTCTCGATAAAGCAATAAGACGAAAGACATAAGCAATCTAGGCAATAATCCATTCAAACTAGTGACCTATCTGCATCTATCACTCTACTCCATCTACTCCCTCTAGTCCCTCTCCCTCCGTCCCTCCCTCTCCCTCTCTCCCTCTCTCCCTCTCTCCCTCTCTCCCTCTCTCCCTCCCTCTCCCTCTCCCTCCCACTCTCACTCTCACTCCACACTCTCACTCTCTCTCTCTCTATATTATGGTTTCCTGTTATCACGCGTGCGTTTGCGATTGCGCAATAGCGAGCATGTGCGCTGTGTGTGTGTGCATGTGCCTCTGTGTGTGTTGTGTGAAATCCGCCGACCCTCGTGCAGAATGCGGGAGCGCATCAGGGAATAAGTGCTTTTACTTTTATTTTTGTGGGTAACCGCAGCTCACCCACACGACGGATCAGTTAAGAGGCTCAGCAGTAAAGCCATCAATCAGCCCCATGCCATGAAAGTCGATCAATGCTTCTTCATGCGTGCCGAGGGCATTCACAATCTGGCCCAATTTCGTTTTCATCCTCAGATACATAATGTTTTATCTGAGCTACTTCTGATTGCTATACTGCTATAACCCAAATTCTTAGGGGCAGTATCTAAGTTGCGGCCCAAAATATTACATTGGAGTGTTGACCAGCTTAAGCCCACATCGAATCAATCTCTTTCAAAACATTGTTCCCATACAAACCCCAAAAGAATAATCCAACTTAATTACACAATATAGCATTATCGTTGGTTTCTACATTTTGTAAAGAAAGGATAAGTTGCCCATGCCCATATATATACAGGACTGCGGGTGGGATACTTATCTTGATTATCCCCCAAAAAGTATTAAATTGGGATAAACCAGGCACATGGTTACCCATCTTGTTTGGTAATTAATGCACCGTTCTTTTTGCGATAAGGCCCCAGCATGATATTGCAAGTATTATAACTATAATAACCCATTCCCAAAGTTACCCTGTTTACTGTCATACCACATTAACATATCTTCTAACGTTCTTGGTTGTCATGTGTGAATATTTTATCTTGGGGATACTTAATCCATAATACTTTTACAAACACCAGGTGCTAACACATCAAATGTAAACCCTTTAAAATCCCATTCGCGAATTCTAAGAACTCTTTGGGGGAATCTTTAACACCAAAAAATCTACATCATGATTAAGGTGAGATTCCTGACTTGAAGAGCAGACAAGGAATCGGAATTGTAACCGGAAAGAACCGCGTCAAGCTTTGCTAAATGTTTGTGAATGCTGGCACATGCCTTGGGGATCATGGCTGATGGGGCAACATCCCCTTCCGCCTCGGGAAAGCCAAGTTTGGCAAGCTGGGCCTTGGCATCCTGGGGGATTGGTGCAATCACCTCGGTCTCCTCAGGCTTCACCTCCGTGTCGCCAAGAGCCAGGACACCTGGGCCAAGCTGTGGGGGAGTGAGGGAGTTTTTTTTGATGAATATGTTTGGGAAAACGTGGAACAAGAAAACTGTTCAACACTGGCCCCAGCCAGCCTGAGTTTTTGTCAGTCAGCATGGTCCATTCCAGTGCATGGTTCTCTGATGGTTGGGAAGGGTCATTTGCTTCATCCCACTCAGTCATCTCCTGGAAAATGTGGCGCTTGCTTCTCCTGAGTGGGGTGATAATAGCTGGATTGTGTGGAAGTCAAAAACAATCAAAAAAGCATTTTGAATCTGTGAATATTGGTAAAGCCTAGGATCTTCAGCGACCCCTTGCACCGAATTTCGGTCCAGTACATCTGACCTTCTCCATACTTGGACATCCTGCAGGCCGCTTCGATTTATGTTGTGAAAAATAGGATGCATGTGGCCTTGTGCAAACACAAAACTGGGAAAGTACCATTGCCCACCCTGCCTTTGTAAGTGCGGGCGGGATTCGCAGTATCGGATAACTCCCTTGATCTTCGTCCTAGGTGGAACAACTGAACAGGAGCAATGTTATACCAATGTATCATACTATGAATATACCTGGATAAAAAAAGAACAGTAAGTCACATCCTCTTGAAAAAACATCACCTGAAGGAATGCCATTGCTGTCGGGTTCTTAAAGATAACTAATCTATAATATATATATAGATATGTAGATATATATATATATATAGATATATTTATATAATATACATGTATATATATATCCCATATTTATGTATATACACATATATTATTATTATAAAATTCTAGGCAGATAACATTATTTGTATATATATTATATTGTACTTGGTATAATATCAATATTTGATAAAAGGTATATATGTATTATATATATTATATTATATATATATAAATTATATATATAATAATTTGAATCAAAGCCACTCGGAAAACTCCAGTTTCTGCATATCCGCATAAGTCAGCCATTCACCCTCCACCTCGGAGGACTCTTCGGAGATGCTCTCAGTGATCGCCTTGCAGCGCTTGACGAATTTCTCCTGCCAGGCCGAGAGACGCTGAAGGGTTTTTAACCTGAAGGTGGAAAACCTAAAGGCGCCTATTATTATCCAACTATTAATGGCCAGCTCTGTTCAAGAAAAACAACATTGGATATGATATAGTAGAAGTTGACTGTTAAAGACCCATAAATTGTGCTTTAACTTAACCCAATTTGATTCTATAGTTAACCCAATTTGTTTCCATAGATCTCAATGTTTTTTTGAACCCCTGTCCACAGAGTACCCGGTCTTCTCAAACATGGAATAGAGCTGACTTCGTCCATCCTTGACATCTTGCCAAGCCTTGACCCACTTGTCATCTACGTCATAGCTCCCATCTTTCTTTGCCTTGAACACCCTGTACAAACGGTTGTAAATGGCATTGTCAGACAAAACTTGAGGTGGAAGTGACAGCGTCTCAAAGTATGGATCATGATCCCCTCTTGATCGCTTCTTCTGTGATGGCACTGGTGGGGGAAGCATGAGTGCTGACACAACACCCTCACCATGACCTGCCCCACCCCGCTCTGTGGTTCTACCTGGATCCAGCCGCAAGTAAGCAGGTTTCGGTGTGCCTGTTGGCGCCATGCCTCCATCAGGCACGGGGGCTGGAGGGTTGCTCGGAAGAACCTGCTGGTCGGCTGGGTCTGTCGGCACTTCCCCTGAAGTGGGTGTCTGACCATCCTTCATCTCATCATCATTTTGAACATCATCAGGTAACTTGCTCTTGCTACGTGAGTAATCGAGTGTGTGGTCATCATCATCATCATCTTGAAAATCATCTTCCTCACTCCAAGGAAAGGCATTGGGAATTTCAAGTTCAGCCTCGCTAGGGGAAGTTTCTTCTTCCATCGGGTCAACGGGTTGATTTTCATTCCTTTCAGGGATCTCAGCCGGGACAGTCACATCGTTCTTCATCTCGTCATCTTGGGGTTCCGTTGGGGCAGGAGCAGAACCACAAACCTTAGTGGGCGAAGGACATTCCTCCTCAGCATTCTCGTTCTTCACCAGGGACTGCCTGATGGCATTCTTAGCCTGCCGATGCATTGGCAGTAGAATATAAAAAGAAGAAATTGTTATTTTTCACAGGTGGTCATGATCAGCTCAAGATGCAATGTCAAAAACATAGGTGCCTCTTTGACAAACAAAATTTGTAAGTCATCATCGGCCATCTCATCATCAACCACTGACTCTGAAGCGGTCGCATATTTGTTCTCCATCAGAGTTTTTTCCAAAGCCTAAGATGCTGGAAGGTATTGTTTGAAAGGAACATGTCGGAGGTTTGGGGCCCTTCAGCAAGAACCAAATTATATATATATGCATAACTAAACAATATAGTTAAATAATGTTAAATATGATGCCACACATTCCAGGAGTTATTTTGATATATATATATAGGCAGAATCAGATATGATGGGGATTGAAATTGTTACCCAATAAAATATGATGTGAACCCAGTAGCTTCTAGCCTGGCAAGCTCTACCAGCATTTGCTCATGCTCAGGGTCACTTTGAAGCGACATGGTGGCTGAATGGACAATGCCCACCCCGCGTGCCAGGGTCTCAGATGACCAGGTTTGGGAAAGGTGCCCCCTTTCCATCCTATCCGTATCCCACCTTCCAGCCAGAAAGATTCTGGGACATGGCGATAAGTGGTTCAATCATGGATTGAAATCAAACCCAAACAATCATGAAAATTCATGAAAAAATCATGAAAATTCATGAAAAAAATCATGAAAATTTATGAAAATTCAAGATTTGAACTTCAAACAAAATCATGAAAATTCTGAAAATTTTGAGTTTCGGCATTTTTTGCCCGAATAGTGCGTTTTTTTGCCCGAATAGTGGGATTTTTCGCCCGAATTTTTCATGAAAATTTTTGGTGGTTGACAAATTTCAGCCCGATTTTTTCATGAATTCAGGTTTGTAGTTCCAAAACCATGCTTGAAATTCCAGAATCCCAAAGCCAGTTTAGTGGAAATACGATTCTTCATGGTTCTTCATGAATCTGTGCAAAGCTGTTTTTTACCACTAACACACTTGAAGCGTGCCACAATGTGGTGACTCTCTGGTTTCTGAATTAGTGAGCTAGTTTTTTGACCTAGCTTGTGAAAAGGATGCGATAAGCATCGGGAAGGTCAAGTAGTTTTGACCTTCGGACATATTCCAAAGGGCTCCACAGCTCAGCTTCGTTCCAGGGGTCCTCTCCAGTAGGAAGCTCTTGGAGCAGCTCCAGGATAGTCTTGTCTGGGAACAGCACCTGGGAAACATGAGCTTGCCCTCAAACAATTTCACTTAAAAACTAGCTGGCTGTATGCATTGTGATTGTGAATCATTTTTGCTGACTTCCCTCAAAAGACCGGAAAGAAAATGTAACTGTATTTTTACAAAGGGGCCACCCAAGAAAGTGCAGTGTAATCTTCAGCATTGAAGGGGCCATTGTCCATGGTTCTGAATCTGTCCCAGGCAAAAAGATTGGAGGTGGAATGTCGGTCAGCTTCGAAGGTAACCTCTGAAACCCCATAGGACTCATGTTTTTCTTTGGTTGGGGTATGGACCAAATATCTAAATCAATCAGCTCACCCAAACCATTCTTTCCCACCTCTGGCAATTTCGGACCTGTCTCCTGAAAGACACTCCGGTTTTCGAAGATCTTGCCCACAAACCGTACGGGATATACCCTTGGCCACGGTGCTGGCTAAGGCAGAATGAAACTATGAATAGGCCGGGGACATCAGGGGACCAAGAGGAATGGGTATGTTTCCATAATATAATATAATATAATATATATACATTTTATAATATGAACTGAAAATATATAGCAAAACATTTCAAAAAAGCTGTGGTAAACCCAACGAATGATAAATCACATCTTTGGGTCATGTTCGAAATGTTTGTTTTACAATTTGGGGGTCATCATTCATTATACTTAGCATTTGGGTTTACCACTTTAAATTTCAGTTCAAGCACTGCGTGGATTTTAGCGCTTTCGAGCCTTTGAAACGCTTGGCTCCCTTGGAGTCTCGGTACTGGACTGTAGTGGCCAGTAAACTCTTGTGCTTTGATTTGACAATGGGGCCCAAATCAAGTAGCCGGATAGCTGGTGATGTCGACCATAATAGCGTCCGCTTTAAACATAGGTGCCCATGATGCTTCATCCATAGCGCTTGCTTGTAAAGAACTTAGTCATCATTGGTTTCGAAAAGCAAAATGCAAAAGAACATTGGCCATCCAACCACCAGGAACCATATTAATTACAGCCCCCCATTCCTTCAATATATATATATATACTATATATTATATATATTTATATTATATATATATATATTGAAGGAATGGGGGGCAATGAACTCCCTATGTGGCCCACTCTTTCTGAAACACATTTGTCTTGCTAGCCCTTCTAGCCCTTCCTATGACATCCCCATCCCACTTACCAACAAACGTGACATAGTTTTGAAGCTCCAAAAAAATACCCACTGACATGTTTTTTTTGGGGGTATGATTTTTTTGATTCCAAGAATTGTTAATCTAAGAGGGACCATGTTGATTTTTGGCATCCTTTATCCCAAACCCACCAACAGCTTGTGGATAAAGGCCGGTCGGAAGACTTATGCCCTTGTCCTGCAGCAGCTTGACAACGAGGCGAAACTTCGGGTGGCAATTCATGAGCGTACTCACAGGATTCTCCAGGATCGGAATTATCCCAACCGCTATCACAAGTAGCAGTATCAACATAGACCTTCAGGGTTTGCGTCAACTAACCTTCGCCAAAATCCAGGTATGTTTGGGTTTGGGTTGTATTTCTCTAATCATATCTGATTTGAATATGTTGGATCAACATAGCAGTGCATGTCAAAGAAATATTTACATACCATAGCATAATAAACACAGTTAAAATGTAACAGGCACACTTAGTACGTTGTAGATAGGATGATGAAAAGGTTGGTATATTATATATATATACATTTACTGTGTTTAATACAACACTATATATATACTATAATACATATATACTGCAATATATATTGGATTCGGATGACATGCATACATATTATCCAGAATTGGTTTGTTCTACCTTGCCTGACCAAGCCTTTGTTCGCCTTGTAAACTGCAAGGGATACTGGACTTCCTTCTGGGACAAATGGACAACGAAGTGTTGACCCCCGTGAGATGGCCACAAAAGTACTGCAGCATATGCCAAACAAAGCTAGGCAGCAGTGCCACCGCCCCTGCAGGGCCAAGGTGCAAGCGAGCCTCAGATTCAAAGCTTCAACGCACCACCCAGGCTGGTTGGGTGCAGCTAAGGGGGCAGCAAATAAAAAGCACCAAAACCGAAGTTCAAAGTATTTGGTAAAGGAACACCATTCCTCCAGACGTATTCAAATCATGAGAATTGTTCTTCTTCCGGTTATCCCCTGCCACATCATAAAGGGAATCCATGGCAGCAACGTTGAGCCCCATGGCTTTCCCCAATCGTGCTAACCTTGCCGTGCCAGCGTAGTATTCCAACACCTCGTACTCAGCAGCAGGGTTCTCAAAATCCACAATGGTCAGGTTCCCAATCAAGAGGATTAGGAGAATAAATGCCTGAGCGCTTTCATGGAACAGGGGAACCGCTAGCATTACCAGTGTTTGGCTTGGAAACAAGCTGGCATGGAGTGTGGATTTTTGGAAACCAGTTCAAACCAGTATTCAATTGAGGTGCGCGGGGCGCACGCAACCAAACCAATCGCCGGAGAACGCAATCCAGCTTGGGTGGCACAGAGTCACATGTACTTCTAGACCTCTTCATTCCGAAGGGTACTAAGTCACTAAGTGTCAGGAGCCGAAACTTTAAGGACACATCATCAGCTATAGAGAAACCCAGAACTTGGATCAGACTTCGGCACACTCAAGCTGAATTGGCTGGGGAAACTCTGGCCAGGCCCACGATCCGAGTCGATGACACCATGCTTCACGTAGGGCCCCAAGCAACGGAGCTTTCGCCTCTTCATCGATCGTACCTGGCTGCTGTAGAAGGTAATGAGCTGCAATAGTGTGTATGGTGAAATACAGTGATTGGTGTTTCGGTGGTTTCCTCATGTTTTCTCATCATTTTTTAATTTGGGATTTTTCACCCAAAAAAAAAGTCATCTCAAACTCAACAGAATGATGGGTAGTTGAGACTGTTTTCCCGTATTGCCAGCAATAGAGCTCCCGGCGTCACAGGTTCCACACACTCGCTGCAGCAGAGTGAAGGGCACTCTGCCCAAATTTAGATGTCATGTCAGCACGAGTTCAGCCCATGGAACGGCCAGCCCATCAAAAAATATGTTTTCAAAATTTCAGTTATGGCATGTTGGGAGTCAGCTTTTGGTTTACTGGCCATCCCACTCCTGAGTCTAACGCGCTGCCAGAAACCCCTAATATGTATCATTTTGTGACACGTACAAAAACGGAATATTCTCTCAGTTGGATCACGGCGCACCGACTTTGGCCATCTCTTCTTAGTTGGGTGATGGGTTCAAATTCAACCCTGGGCTTGTGGGTGCCACCCCAAAAGTTAAACAAATCAAATCAATTGACAGCTCCAACCAATATCAAGGAACCCTTGACGCCTGGGATTTCCAAGAAGGACTGGACGCAGCTCTTGAAGAACTCGTACTGGCTGGTATTCTCATTCTCCTGATACTGTTCCCTCTCCAACTTCACACAATGTGTCCAAAACGGGTCCTGGTCAGACAGGTGGCAAAAAAAATGTTCGCCAAATTTATAGTATGGCCGCCCCAGCCACTGGAAAGCGATCAGCATAATATATATAATATAATATAATATATATATATATAACTAAACCTTGTTTCCATAACAAAAACCTGGTTTACAAATGGTGGACCATAATGTCTTTTAAGGTATATATATATACAACCATATCGTAGGGGGATGCCTTCTACATAATATGACCTGGGGCTTTGGTAGATACTATGTAATATTGTAAAAGCAGTTAATATTATTCACCCCTAACCCTTTTGACAAACATATGCCTCGAAAGGCGAAGGTCGGCGGATCAGTGGGGCCACAAGGTCCATGAAGACTCCCTTGATGTTGTCCCAGCGCTTTCCTGCCTTCTCACCCTTGCCACGGATTCTCCTGGCAAAAGTTGCCTTCTCCTTGTGGTTCTCCTTGGGATCATTGGCGCCATCTGGCAAATCCTCAGCTTTGCGCTTCTTCGGTGGATCAAGGTCACCAGAAGCTTCCACGGGGGCAGGGCAGCTTGCCTCAGGGGCGACCGGAAGGCCATCACCAGGAGTGTGAGCTTGCTTGGCCTTCTTGGTGCGGGGCTTCTTGGGTTCTTTGACCTCTGGGCCCCCAGTGTCAGCAGGAACTGATGGAGCTTCACCTTGAATCTCGGCGGTCTCTGTTGTGCCCTCATCATGTGTCTCCTTGCTGTCCTTGCTCTTGTTTTTTCGTCCCTTTGTTGCCTCCTGCTTCGGTGCAGCTTTCTTCTTCGGTGCAGCCTTTGCTTTTTTGTCAGCTTTTTTCTCATCTTTTTTGTCAGCTTTTGCAGCCAACTTTGCAGCCAACTTTGCAGCCAACTTTTCAGCCTTGGCCCTTTCTTTCTGGAATTTTGCCTTAGCCTTGGCCAAGGCTTTGCTGTTCTCCTTCGCAAGTTTCGCCTTTTCTTTGTCATCGGCTTTCTTCTTCTTTGCAGCTGCTGCCTTTGCTTGTTTTTTGGTCATCGGTGCTTCTTTGGCTAACCTATCTCTCTCCGCAAACTGTTCATGTCGGGTCGTTTGAACCTCTGCGTTGAACAAATCCTCAGGCCCATCAGCAGGCTCAGGTTCCTCACCACCCTCTTTGGTATCCTCAGGGGCAACAGCTCCTCCATGTTCACCCTCCGCATTTTCCGTCACAACGTTCTGAGGTGCCAATGGCTCGGGCTCATCATGAAGACTTTTGGCATCAGAAGCAAGAGGCTGGTCAAGGGTCCTGGGACAGGGCTGGTCTGGTAGATCGCTTTCAGGTTGCTCAGGGGTCTTTGGCTCCATAGCATCACCATGCACACCAGCTTCGGCAAGAAGTTGGTCATTGACTTCACCATGAGGTAGATCAGCAGGAAGTTGGTAGTCGTCGTAGTTGACTTTACCATGTTGAAGGTCAGCAGGAAAGTCGCTGTTGACTTCACCATGAGGTAGGTCAGCAAGGCCATGAGACCTCTCTCCTGTTTCTACACCCTCATCCGGCTTGGTTGGAGAACTGCCCTCCAAGAAGTCATGAAACATAGGCAAGGTGTCCAGAGTGGATGGGTCCACTGCTGGCGCAGAAGGTGCCCTTTGCAAAGGGCGAGGCTGTTGTCGCATATTGATCCTTGACCTCAGCTAGGTAAATTTATGTTTTCAAAAGTACATGGTTCTGATTTTTTAAAAATAGCTGGGATTACCCATGGACCACCCCCCTTATAGAACATCTAACTAACGTAACCAGGGAAATTTGAGAAAATGTTTGCATTTTGAGTCGGGTTACTTGAGCAAAGCTATCTTTTCCCTGAGTGTGGCCAAATCTTCCTCACTCACCTTTGCGGGGTTCTTTGGCGGCAGCACTCGGACAGGAATGCTTGGAGACTCGGCAATCTCGATAACACCATCAGGCCCTGGGCGGGGAGGAGACGGAGTGTTCTCAATCTCCGTAGGGGCTACGCTTTCCGATTTCTCAGTGGCTGGTGAAGCTGCTGCATCTTTGCTACCCAAGTTCTCACCACCCTCAAAGACATTCTCCAAGGAATCTTGCTGGTCACACGGTACAACTGGACAGTCATTCGCAGGAACTAGTGAATCAAAGTCCATTTCTGTATAGGCTTGTGATTCTAGCAGCTGTGTCTCAGGGATCTCGGAGTCAGGTAGGGGTTCTACTGGTTCAGCAACGCCACACAGCACCCCCAACCCTTGTGCCAAATCAGCATCATCCACTTCGTCAGGATCGTGCTCTTCATTTTCCTCCTCGCCAGCCTCAAGCGACTCTTGGCTGCCCAGCTTGGGTCTCACCATGACCGGCCAATGGGCGGCGACCATGTTGAACAGGGTGGCGACAATGGGGTCCTTTGCAGCGAGGCAACGGGATAGTAGGTATACCATGGCTTAAGGCGGCATAATCTCTTCCCCCTAATATTAAGGACCCCCTTAGAAACCATGGTTTAGTAATGGGTTTCCACATCATTGGGATCATTAATAGGCCACTTAATCTTAGAGTGATGGGATTATGCATTTTTCTTCAGGATGAAAGTTCTGTCTGTTTTAGAAAAATAATGTGGCAAAAAGAGGAAAACCCATAGGCCATAGTAGTTGACTGACAAGGCTGGCTAAACTCACAAGTTGTTAAGTTCATTCCAAGTAAGAATCTCTGCGGATTGCACCATCATGACGCTTCACCATGTAGCTGATGAAACCACGTAGTGAAACAGCATCGCAGTTCATCAAGACAGTGTCTTCGGGCATGGAAAGCATCGCACGAAAGAGCTCCATCTGAAAGGGGCTGGGTTTACTCTGAAAGTGGTCACTGGTATTACAAATGCAATGGATGGGGAAAAGTGGAATGGGAACCCATTTTAAACATAATATTATGTATATATATATATATATTATTATTTATATATATATATATTTATATATATATATATTATTATTTATATATATATATTATTTATATTATATATATATATTATTTTACATATAACATAGAAGAGAACATATGTATTATATTGATAGATTATGTATATATTATAATATATATTCTACAAATAAAAATATATATATTATTTTCCCTATCCCGCCTGTTCCCTGGCATCTTCAATCAAAATGGTCTTTGGTACTTCAGTTTGTGGTAGCCACATTCTGAGAGTCTTCTCAACCACCCGAAAGTTTTCTGCAAGGGTTTTGAAATTGATGACGCCAACCATTTTGGGACTTGACCATCGCATGATCCTGCCACTAGCAAGGGCATGGGTCAGCACCCGTTCGTCTTTTGCAAGCTCTTTACACAGACCCTTCAAAGATCCTTCCCCATCTGGGTACTCCTGGTCTTTGGACCCCTGTGCTGGGAGATCCATCGCAGGTCCAACTGATTCTGGCCAAACTTTGTGTTTCTCAAATTTTTCAAGCCAAATGCTGAGGAAGAGGGGATGAACTACAACAGGCTGCCAAATGGCAGCAATCAGGCCGCTGATGCTGCAACTGGAAGCCGGTCAATCCTGGATTGGGGCACGTGTTGAACTTGTCCACATGGCAGACCGTGATCAAACACTTCACAGCACCTGCGCATAGGGGCAAACATGGCTTCACTACCTTAGAAGATATCCTGGGGCATCCCATCTAAAATTAACTTTAGCTGTGGCAAAAAAGATATCCTTCAAATTTTGGAAAATATGCATAGCAGTTCAAGACGGCGACTCTTGATCACCCCACAGTTTTTCTGTTAACCCCAATCCCAGAGAGCCACTGCAGTGGCACAACGCTGCCAAGGTGTTTTGTACACCTCACTGAGCTAGATCTTGCGGCATGGGTGCGAGGCAGCCTTGGACCACTGTAGGATAGATTGGGTGGATCCTTTCGGGTAAAAATTGTATTTTCCGAATTGCCTACAAGTAACATTGAACTTCATGAACTTCTTAGCAACCGCTGCAAAGAAGAAGCTGGTACCATGAAGTAGGTAATTCTCCAAGATAGTCTGGGCCCGGTCTTGGGACAAGTAAACCTTGGATAAAGCATTGAATCCCTGTGAAGGAGAAATAAGGAGAAAATGTTCTCACAGGCAGGCACATTACAACACAGCTTCCGGTCTTGGGCTAACGTTTCACAGAGCGAGAGACTTCAGGAGCACAGGTGGGGAAAAGGGCTCTTTGGACCTGACGCCACCATTCCCCTGGCAGCTGAGTCAGTCCTAGCAAGGGTGGCGATTCACAAGTACATTCTCCCCACAAAACAATTGTAGCAAATCAGTTGGTTGAACTAGTCCTGCTTCCTCCAGCGCTTTGAAAGTAGACCATTCCACATGAAGGAACGATACCATAACCATTAGCTCCAGATCTTTTCTATTGGGTCAAACCGGAGCTACTACCCTGAGCCAAAAACAACTTCCAAGCTGTCACAATCTCCTTTCAAGACTTGAGAACGGAGTTTTGGATCCTAAACCATGTCAGTTCTGTGACATCGCAAAGGCAGGCAAGGCAAAGGGATGGGCGGCACCTTGAAGATTCATTCAACAGTGGAGATCGCCATGTTTCAACGTGTCTAACTTGAGGTTTGAGCCTGACTTCTTATCAAATTTAGCCTGAGATTCAAGATTTTCAGCCTGAGATTCAAGGTTTTCAGCCTGAGATTCAAGATTTAGCCTGAAATCCCCCTCAGACCGAAATTTCAGTCTGAGACCCTAAAAGTCGGTTTTTCCACTTCAGGCTGAAATTATGTCCTTTTGGAGTTCGTAGGTATATAAAGCTCTTTTGGTAACTAATTGGCACAATGGTCTATCTCATCAGGATGTTCAACTCCGTTCTTTTGGGTTGTGACAATGTAATCACTGCGCAATAAAACATCTTGAAATCTTCATGTTCACCTAGCAGGTTCTTTGAAACTATAGCAGCAACACAGAGGAGCCATACACTCTGGTAATCAGCTCCATGGCTCCTGGAATGTGCAATTTGTGCATCCAAGCGCCAAATTGTTAAAAAAACAAAACAACTCTGTTGATTTGGTGAATATTGAAATCGACGGAACAAGTACTCAGGTCTCCGGTATCAGGGTATAGGTCTTGAATAGTCCAGAGACCCATCCTGAGATCTGGTATCTTGGATCTCCATCGTCGATAGTTTTCATCAATGGTTGATATGTAGTGAAATGATGATATTCTATTATAAATTATGAATAATTATAATATGTAGTGAAAAATGGTGATCCCATTTTAAGCAACTTCCATAGCTATTCTCCATCTTTGTTCACTTCGAGCTTCGAGATGTCAGCGGCTCTGGCGTCGCATCTTTCCTACCGAAAATGGGAATGATCACAGGTACCTGGGTGATGAAATCAAATCATCCTTTATAACCGGTGTATTACATGGGATGTCCGTATCATATTCACACACATATATATATATAAATAACAACAATGACAATAATAAATGGTATGTAGCAGTAATCATATACTATAAGTTTTCGTTTGAGTGCCCCTTGAACATCTCTGGACTTGATTTTTTACAGTTTTTGGTGGAAAACATGCCACTTGAAGGGTACCCAAATGGAAGATGGTAAAGATTGATCAAACCCAAAGCTGCTGGTTGGGCCGGACATCTTTAGAAATTCTAAATTTGGGCCTACTGCCGAGACTGACGGCCCACAGAGTCACAATGTCATACAACCAAACAAAGGCTTAAAGGACAAGAAACTGGTAATGTTTTCCAGCTGTCTTCTTACAATGTGGTGCCCCATACCATAGTTAGCTAAGTTGGTTTATAACTCCCATAACTATGGTTTATGGCAGATATAACGAACTAGTTACTGGGGTTTATAGACCAACGTTCACATCACTGGGGGGCACCATCCTGTAAAGATGTTTCAAACCTTAAACACAACCCAGAAACCAGGTGTTTGAGGTGGATGGCGGCCAAGCCGCCCAGCCGCGCCGCCCAGCAGTATCAATGATGTGAAGCTACTTTTTTCTCACAGACTTACCATGTTTCTTGAATTTCAAGAAAACCTGTTCCATCCTTTTCCCACAAATTATGATGTTTTTTTTTCATATATATATATATATGTATATATATGTATATATATATATGTATATATATATGTATATATATATACATATAAATAAATATATACATATATATATATACATATATATATATATACATATATATATAATATTGTATATATATATATGTGTTCTTGTAATTACTGTGTTCCACCGTTTTCCAAAAAAATATGGGCCAAGAAATTGGATCCGCACCGATCCCGGGCTCCTCTGGTCCTGGTGTCCGCACATGGATAGGAAAATTGAGGAAAATGTGGGATTGACCGTCAAATTTGGAGGGCAATCTATTTTCAAACGGCTGCCTTGGGGCATCTTTTGGACAAACCCAGTTTAATGGAATGACGGTGCCCTTCTTGGATATGCATCCCAATAACTGGTTCAGTATCCGGGTTTGGAAGTTGATGAAGTTGATTGGGACGCTTGGCACTTTGGGAAGTGCATGAACAGTGTTTCAGAGACTGGCAGGAAGAATTTCTAGGCAATAATTTACAATCATATCATGTCATATCCACCGAATGGATTAAGACAATTCAGCAACAAATGGATTACCAACAGCGCCTGGACATCATTTCGGCTGTACTTCCCCCAGTAATAAATGCTGATAAGTTGATAAGAGTATCCCGTGAAGGTCAAGTGGGGCCATGCAACAAAATGTGTTTCTCTAGAGAATCCTGTGGCTCCCATGAGGGTTCTTTGGGAGCTGCTCGGCACAAATGTCAAGATTTTGATCACCCTCGTTCACAGTGCAGCATGCTTTCTTCTGACTCTTGTATGTTACAAGCTGCGACAGGCCAAGACTTGGGTTGGATACGGTTGGATGTATTGTATGGATGTGATGAAGCAATTC